TGATACAGAGAGGTGACTGGTGTTACAAGAGCCTGGAGAGAAGGATTTCAGGTGGTCAGGTGGGTCAGGGAAAGTTTCTTGGAGGAAGAGGGGCTTGGGCTGAGATAGAAAAGATAAATCTAACAGGTGAAGAAGAAAGGGAGGAGGCTTCTAAGCAGAAGGAACTTGTTGTGCAGTGATTCTCTGGCAAGGGGAAGCCAGGTGGGAATGAAAGGCTGACAAAGGCCAGTGTAGTTACAGCAGAGGGAGCCAGGAGGTGTGGAGTGAGAGAGAGGTTGGGGACCCACATGGGGCCACAACATTTGGGGATTTGTAGCCAGGCTGAAGAGTTTACTTTTGCCCTCAGAAAAATGGGAAGTTCATATAAACTTTGTTCAGTTAAAAAGCTACTGCAGAGTTTTGAGCCAGGAAGAGAAAGACAGGTGCTGGACCCCATCCTCAGTAGGACTTGGTGGGTCTAGGGTGGGGCCTAAGAATGTGCATTTCTAACAAGTTCCTAGGTGCTGATGCTGCTGTCCCGGGACAATACTCTGAGAACCTGGCTTTAATTTATTAATGTTGGAGGGGGTGAGGGGCTGAGGGAAATTTTAAGAAAGAAGCACAGATGCGTAGGAGTGTTGGGATTAAAATTAAGCCTATTGGTTAATCTCAGACATAGTTGGAGAAAATGTTTGTAAATAAACCTTTCTTGCAATTGCCATCTGCAATAGGTATCAAAGACAAAGCAGAATGAGGCTCTTGTACGAATGTTGCTTGATGCTGGCGTCGAAGTTAATGCTTCAGACTGTGTAAGTTTACATTTTTTCCCATTTTAGAAAAAATATTCAAAATGGTATTTGTAGGTGGTGTACTTGTCATCTATAAAGTTGTTTGCTTTTTCTTCCTTGACACTTTTACATTTGCTTTTCTTTCTTTTCATAGTCGGGCAAACTTGAGGTTATTTATATTCTGCTCAAATCATGGGAATAAAATCTTTATTGATTATAGAACATTTTTAAAAGAATTGGCTTTGGCATTGGTGAGAAGTTAAGGAAAATGAAGGCTCTGATCACAAAGTACCACCCTCAGAAGCTGGAGTCAGCATGCCCATGTGTAAATCTGGGCTTACTACTTTCTGCCTATGTGAGTTTGAGCAAGTCATACACTTATTTGACACTCAGTTTCCTCATCTGTAAAATGGGGATATGAATAATACTTATTGGGCTGGTTCATATAAAGTACTTAGCAGATGCTTGGCACATAGTAAGTGCTCACTGAATGCAAACAGCTGCTGCTACAGCCAAGTTCCCAACCTGCTGATTAGAGGCCCCATCTGCAAATGAAAGATAGATAAGGGCAAACGTCAAAGACAAACCAAAGGTTGGTAAGAGCAGTGATAACAACCAGAGCAGCATCAGCTCACTGCTTCCTGTTTATAAGTGGGAGGTTTTGTTTCCACCCTTTACCCCTACACCCTTGCACTCATCTTCCTTCCTTAAATGATCATAATGAGACAGAAGGTTATTTGTATGGTGTTTTATTTGCTTATGTAGATTAAATAAAGTTTTTCACTTGTAGTTCTTTATTGGAAAAGTAGGCAAGTAGAAATTTGATTCCAAAATCTAACATTGTGTTTGTGATGACTAATTTATTTTACTTGTGTGCACATCTGTGCATGTGTATCACCATTGTTCAATGTTGGCCACAATGTCCCCATCCCTGCTCCTATCAATTATTTATATCATTTAGGTTTAGTTGTTTTTGTATCACGTTTAAATGGAGGTAATTTGTGTGTGCGTGTATGAGAGAGAGAGAGAGATAATACAAGAGAATAAGTTTATGAAATATATGTTTTCTTTTTATTATATTTCAAATGGAATTTTTGGATAAATTTGGATAGACAACTACAGTGTCATCATTTCCTTAGATACCTTTGAGATACATGAAGAGTTTATTAAAAAATAATTGAGTTTATTGAAGGTTTGTCATGGTATTTTCATTAAAATTCAATGTATTTAAAATTTGTGCCTGTGACAAAAATTTCTCTAGGATATTTTTCCAGCTATTTATATTATCTGTGTGTCTAGATACAGATATGACATTCCTGTGGACAGACGCATGCATGTACACACACACACAGACACCCACTTTTCCACCAAATATTCTTTGCAAACTACCTAAATATCAAGATCTATTTTCTAAGTAATGCACTGTTTTGTATTTTTAGGTAAGTAGACTCTATTTCACATGGAAAAATTCAGAGCCAGATCTTCCATTCTTCATGCTATCACTTAATAAAAATAAGTGATTGCAGCATTATCTCCAGAGATAATTGTGTTAATCTTGATAAAGACTATCAAGTAATTGTCTTCATTAAGGAATTCAGTTAAGGATGTTCTTTTTTTACTTACCCCAAACCATGGTTGCTTGGCTGGTTTTTTAAAGGCAGATTTTGGACACCAATGCCCCAGTTATACATTTTTTTGGACCTGTAGTTGGTGTTTTAAATTAGTACCAACAGAGTAGATCTACTATTTTATTAAATCTAACATTTGATATAAATTATGACAAATAAAATTTGGGAGACTTATTAGTAAAACTACATTAATCTTGTAGGTGTACTGTAGCAATATGAGTACTTGCCTTTTTCACATTTTAGGGATTTTGATCAAACTCATAGAGGATAATATTTATATAGAGGTCCATATGGAGACTCTTTAAGGGAAAAGATGATAACATGATCAAGGTAATGATTACCCAAGCACATAGCTTTCTACCAAAAAACCTTGGCACAATTCAGCATCAACTTTTTATAAGTTGTAGTTTGTTTGTTTGTTTGTTTGAGACAGAGTCTTGCTATGTCGCTTGGGTTGAGTACATTAGTGTCATGATAGCTCACAGCAATCTCAAACTCCTGGGCTTAAGCGATCCTCCTGTCTCAGCCTCTCAATAGCTGGGACTACAGACATGTGCCACCATGCCCGGCTAATTTTTCTATTTTTTTATAGAGATGGGATCTCACTCTTCCTCAGGCTGGTCTTGAACTCCTGGTCTTGAACTCCTGACCTCAAGAGATCCTCCTGCCTCAGCCTCCCAAAGTGCTAGGATTATAGGCATGAGCCTGGCCTAAGTTGCATTCTTTTAGAACAGAAATTGAAAAAGGCAGATATCGATGGCTTATAGGACATTAATATACATATACATTGAGGCAGGGACGAAAACTTTTTAATTACAAGAAATACAGCTGTCCATAGATAGTTTTCAGACTGTTTTGCTCAGTTGTACACTACAAAGTGTGAAAAGGACTCGCTAAAGCCACATGCCACAGGCTGTGGAGCCCAGTTGATGAACTGCAGCGTTGACCCTTTGTGTTTCAGTACGGTTGCACCGCGTTACACTACGCCTGCAAGATGAAGAACCAGACTCTCGTCCCTCTGCTCCTGGAAGCCCACGCAGACCCCATGATTAAGAATAAGGTAAGGATCTGTGGACCACCGTCTGAGGCCCTTCTAGCAGCAGCATCATCTAATCTAGGTCTTATGTTGAAGTAAATGACTTGTTTCTGATGCTAATAACAGCAAAATGAATCATCCTCATTAAGGAATGAAGTTATCCTATTACTATTAGAACTGAACACCATTTGAAGCCCTTGCCAAGCCAGGGAGACAATCAGTCTAGGCTGTTTACTAGATTCTTTGCATTGACATTTGACACTGTTGGAAATAACTGTAATTTTTTTTTTTCTTCTTCAGCACGGTGAGAGTTCACTGGATATTGCACGGAGATTAAAATTTTCCCAGATTGAATTAATGCTGAGGAAAGTATCATAATACTTGTGACCTCGCAGGTGGACACATAGACGAAGTTGAAGGACTGGATTCTAGCTCCATCTCAGACTGCTGGTCGGTGGGCCCCTCAACCTGGATGCCACTATTTTATGAGGATTATGATGGTTGCCATGGGTAATATTTTTGAAGAACTTTTTATTTACAATATTTTTTGCTTAATTGAGTTCACCGTGGCCATAATCCTACTAAGGGAAACGCTAAGGTTGTTGGAGTATCCATTTCAGTCAAAAACTGATATTTCAGCCAGGTGCAGTGGCTCACACCTGCTGCCCCAGCTACTTGGTAGGCTGAGGTAGAAGTATCACCTCAGCCCAGGAATTCAAGGCCAGTCTGGGCAATGTAGGTCTCAAACAACAACAATAACAACGACAGCAGCAGAACCTGAGGTTTCAATCTCAGTCTCTCCCGAAGAAGAAGATCAGAGTTATCTCTGGAGACAGTGTTCTGTCTTCCAACTTGCATCACTTTACAAAGAGGATGTCTGGTCTATGTCATGTCCTAGGAGACAAACCGTCTTCGAAGTCCCCTTTGACTACTTAGAGGACTAATCAAAGTATGTACACTTGTATAGAATGGTATGTAGATGCGTGTGGGTTGAGAGAGTCACATGCAAACATTCCTTTGATGAAACAACTTCTATAAAAACATCTATCAGGTGTGAGTGGTGGGTGTGTTTACATCACAGAAACTGGCAAATTGACAATTCAGAACTTTTTTTTGTCTCCAGAGAACTGGTTTACTAGCATACCAATAGAAATGTCTATCATCAAAATGTTTGTTTTAAAAAATATCTTCATGACCCTCTTGTAAATACAAGGTGGCTACCAAGCCTGTTTGTTTTGTTTATTTTTATGGATAAAATTTAAAACATTAATGTAGCTTATTTGGTTAAAAGACTTCTTCACAAGTAATAGAGCTATCTAATGAGGTAGGATCTGGGTTATATTTCTAAGTGAGAGATTGTGAATATCAAAGTATATGTCTCACTTCCTTTGTGAATGAGACAGAGTGGAAATAAATACACTTTAAAAATATGATCAAATTTTGCAAATCGAGACTGAATCATGCACAGCTGTAGACATAGACTAAGTTACACTATATGTAGCAACACATACAGTCTAAGAATGAAAGATTTACCATCCTTGAACAGAACAAAGGTCTAATAAAAATCAAATCCAGCAGTATTTATTGAATTACGTATAAGCCCTAAAGACACATATTTTGTGAGGGAAGCAGTGTGCAGATATAGATTCTGAAGCCTTTAAACATCCCTTAATAAATTATTTAAGATTGATTAGCATTGAACTGAGTTAACAGGGTCTCTGGAGGACAGAGAAAACAAGTGCACTTCACACACCAGTATACCTTCCACAGTACACCTTTGGCACACACCAGCATATCTTCAATTAGGTTTCAGAAATTTTGTAAAATAGTACTCATATAATTTACAACTGTCATCTTTGAAACTGTTGTAAAAATTGAAAAATTTTCTAAAGAAATAAATCTAGGTTTGTGAGTTGGAGTGATTGTCTCACATTAATTTTGTCAAGATTAAAGGATAAAATGCATGATAATTTGTTTCATTATACTCATGGTGTTATACAATTTTCTTCCTAGGTTTTAATTTTTGGAGGCAGAAAACTTTGGAAGCTAGGAATTTCTAGCCGTTAAGTCTCCTAGCAACAGGCTGTAAACTCTCAAACAAGCTTGGACTAGAATCTACCGGAATACACATACATGCTTTATGGAATACATAAAGCATTTATTGGAAAACACATAAACATCCTACAAAATCTTTTTCTCTGAGATCCAACTGTAAAACTTGACTTTATTTGGAGCATGCTTTTACTGTATCATTGATTATTTTTAATTGTTGTTGTTATGAAAGCATCTTGGCTTCGTGAGGTAGTGTTAAATCTCTATGGCAACAAAGTGAAAAACCTAGCTTATTTTGTCAAAATCAACAACAATCCAGAGATTCAATACCTCAATATGTCCCAATTTGTCCTTTTATTTTACTGCTCCAAAAATACAGCTTATTTTTAAAGAGGTTTTAAAAAGGTTTAATTGAATGACATAGACAATGTCTAGATGCCTTGTGGCTATCAGGTAAAATACACCATTCAAGATGGCAGACTATATAACAGCATATGGAACCTGTGTTCACCCAATGAGTAGTTTAATTAACTGTACAAAAGGTAAATGTGAGTTTTAGTGCCAAATGCAGGAAATCTGAAGGAATGCATACTATATTCCTTCCCTTCTACCAAGATGGTAGTTTTCCAATTCTGGAAATTCTTCTTGAAATCCTTCACAGGCCCTAGCCCCGTCTTCCATGAGAGTGTTCCTACAACCTGTCGGTATCAGACGCTTCACGATACAACCTCACACATTTCCTGGGAAGAGTTGGTCTCCTCCTGCTCCATCAGATGTATGATTTTGTTGTACATACGGTGAGGCGCGTCCAAACCCCAGATGAAATCCACGTGAGCCCACTCAGGAATGTTCTTATAGTAGATGAGGTTGGTCACTTCAGAGAGCAGAGTTTTCACATCTTCTGGACTTGAAAGCCAGTCCTGCCCTCCTGTCCACATGGCTGTAGGGACCGTCATATCTCTAACTTTATACCTTATAGGAGTTGGCTAGAGAAAAGGAATAGTTTTTAACTGTAGGTAACATTTGGATTTCCCAACTCTTAATTTACTTTTCAAATAAACATAATAAACATGCCATGCGTTGCGGTGAAGAGTACCTGGGCCTTAGAGCCACGTAGAACTCTGTTAAGAGTTTCCGTTCCAGCTGCTACATTAAGGTAAAATTACTTTACATTATTGAACCCTGGTTTCTTGGCTGTGAATGGAAATAATATTTGTAATAACTTACTAGGCCAAGTAAGAAAACACACAAAAAAACACATAATGCCTTGTACTTGTTTTCTTCTTATTAAATATTTTGCAAATAAACTGCCTTTAAAAATAATGTCCCTGTCCTTTTAAAATTTAATTTCATGAACATTTCATGAGGCAAGAAATAGAAATTCAGGTATTCTACAGAAAAAGACAAAAAGACCTACTGGGAAAGCCTCCAGATAGTCACAGAGACTGTGTGATCACAGGCAGCCCTGAGGCAGGCCCAGCCTGACTGCATCTCCAAACCATGGAGAAATCAACAAATGGGCCTGTGGCACTCAGGTAATTTGAGCCAAGGAGAGGTAAAAAATACTAGCTCCAACCCTCATTCCCTGCCCCGGCCCCTAAAAATCACCCCCCAAGAATGGTATGTTGTATCCACTAATTTCTGCTAACCTTCCCTTATCCAAGTAGTGCTAGCAAATTAGCTGGGCTGGCTGAGCCTTTGGGATTAATGAGCACCCAGAACTTTTCATAGAAATGGGAAGGCTGTTTCTTACTCAGAAAACCCACCATGGCTTCTTTGCTCTAATCTGGTGTCCTGGTTTCTCTTTGTGCCTCCCTAAGAATGTGGAGTTATGGCCTAATTTAGACAAGCAAGGTTGGAATATTCTATGGGGCCAGTAACATTTTTTCTCATCTTAAAAGTGAAAAGATTGAACTAAATGTCATGTTTAGCTCTAAGTTTCTGTGATTTCATGACACCTTTTTGTACGTTTGTTTCCCCTTCCCTTCCGTTACCATTTTCTGGAGTCTACTCTGCACGTGTCACTTCCTCTAGAACTCAGTCCATTAAATGGTGATCAACTAAAACTATCTTAGAACTGGAATATTTTCTCTAAAGACATTCTAGGAAACAGTGAAGACGGGCCTACAAAAAGAAGTAGCCGATATCAGTGATTGAGAGTTTGCTATCCAAGGGCACTACACAGTCTGTCCAATTTCCTGGCACTTTATATCTGGATTGGTGCACGGCAGTGGAGGTAAAGTACGATGTGAGACTCTCAAAGGAAGATTGAGCTGTGTCTAATCTGCTCCCTCTATCTCTGTTTGTATGGTAAATATTTACAGTGTTAACCAATAATCTTCGGTAAAGATTTTCTGCTCAAAAGCGCGTGCCTGTTCAATTCTAATTCTCTCCGTTTTGATTTCTAACTTTATTTCATAGCATTTAGCTATGTATTTTCTTGGGTAATGTGACAACATTTTTGTTTTCATATTTTGAACTTGCAAGTCATAGATTCCATAAAAGTGTGACTATGGAGAATTCTTAAGAATTTTCTAATCCAATAATTTTTGTTTTAAAGTTAAAGAAATTGAGACCTGAAGAATCACAGTAGCCTGCTCTCAACCATGTAAGTTTTAGTGCAGAGGCAAGACTAACACAGGAATCTCCACCAGCCATTTCATGTTCTTTTTACTGTGCTGTGAAACAACCTTGCCCCCCACTACCCCCATTTGTTTGTTTGTTTGTTTTTATCCTAAAATAATCCCTCCAGGATCCACCATAGACTGCACTTTTCTCTGTACTAAGTCTACCCCACCTTGCTCCTGAGAAGCCCAGAGCCTTGCTCAGGGAGGCGACCTCAGCAAAAATGGTCCTACTCCACTGTGGGGCAGAGTGGTTTCCTGGCTAAGCTATGAACTTTCTCATCTTCAAATGCAGTCAACCCTGACTATTATTCTCTGCCTGAATTCTCATATTTCATTCCCATCTCTAGAATAAATTGGTGTTGCTAGAACTTCCCTCTCACACATTTTCAAAGAACATATATTTTAGCAGATGTTGGTATTTGGTTCTCTTACCTGATTGCATTTTTCTAGATTTTTGGTCTCACTGCCCCAGTCAAATGCCCGGAGTTCCCCAGAATTGACTGCCTAGAAGGAGACAAAAATACACAAAGTATTCAGAGGTGTCCCTGGAGAAGGGCGGGGGTGGTGGGGGGTGGAAACATGCTACTCTGCAATTGTGAAGGAAGCAGAGAGCAAAAGCTGAACTGCTCTTCCATTCGGTGCTGGGACAAGCTTCTCAGGCAAGTGGAAAGAAAACAAGGAGGCTTTTCAAGGGGAAAGATGGGCTACATAAATACTTGATCTTCACATTATCAACTCCAGGAAGTGCATCCCTAGTGTCATCAATGTTGGTGAGCATCCTGCACAACTCTGTGGATTATAGTAGGAAAGCATGCCCTGGAAGGTTCTGGGAGATGGTGACCAAAATGTTATCCAACTCAGAATTCTTCTTTGTTTTGAGGATATACTCTCTCTCTCTCTCTCTCTCTCTCTCTCACACACACACACACACACACACACACACACACACACACACGACTTTATCCCTTGTGATTGCAGGTGAAGTTTGCAGTACAAAAGACTCTTGTGAAAATCTCTTTGGGTAATTAGGCCCCATTTTAGCATTTTTGTTCCTACTTGACCATACTGTTGGAGGAACTGAAGAGGAGAAGGTAGAAACATGATCTTCTCCAGCCACGACTTTGAGACAGACAGTAGTCTCACGGGGACCATATTAATTCACACTTTTAAGATCCACTAACAGTGTCCCTGGGCTACTCCTGTTCTCTCCTCCCATCTTCTGAAAAGTTTCAATGAACTTGATCAAATTGACAGTCAAAACAGCCTTGACCAGACTGCATTTCATCTTAGTATGAATGTGAAATAATCCCTGAGTTGTCAAAATGGCATTCTTTGACTATTCTACATAAAATGTGCAAGGAACCTTAGCAAAGACTACAAAGTCAACATTCTTTTTTTTTTTTTTTTTTTTTGAGACAGAGCCTCTCTTTGTTGCCCAGGCTAGAGTGAGTGCCATGACATCAGCCTAGCTCACAGCAACCTCAAACTCCTGGGCTCAAGCAATCCTGCTGCCTCTGCCTCCTGAGTAGCTGGGACTACAGGCATGCGCCACCATGCCTGGCTAGTTTTTTCTCTATATATTAGTCAGCCAATTAATTTCTTTCTATTTCTAGTAGAGACGGGGTCTCACTCTTGCTCAAGCTGGTTTCGAACTCCTGACCCTCAACAATCCTCCCACCTCGGCCTCCCAGAGTGCTAGGATTACAGGCATGAGCCACTGTGCCCAGCCAAAGTCAACATTCTTACCTGGCTCCAGTGTAGAATATTTTGCACGGATGTTCCAGAAGGATTATGGGCAACATATACATTTGCTCGGCTCTGTAACAAAGCATGAGTGGTTTTTGGGATATGGAAAAACTCACAAGATGCGCACCTTGTCAAGACCAAATCTCCAGGGTGTCAGATTAAGAAATGGAAACACCATGAAATTATCAACAATTAACCATGAAACAGTAATATACACGTGCAAATAAATAAAATGCCACTAAATATATTCCTGGGCACCTATATTTTTCATATGAGAATAGCTTCTCATTAGAGATCTGACCTCATCTTTCAAAAAATTTTACTAGAGATATTCAGGATGAGGGATCTAGAATCGAACCTGTCTTCAACTTCTAGCTGTACCATTTAATTTTTAGATGAATTTGGGTGAGTTATTTGATCTACTAAATCTTAGTATACTAATCTATAAAGTAAGGATATTGATAACACTCATCTTATAGAATTGGCACAGGGGAAAAATGAGCCTGGCACATAATATTAATATACGCTTATCAAATGGTAGCTATAAATCAAATTATTAACTTTAAAAAAGAAGAAAAAATCTCACAAGATTAAAGACATCTATTCTCCTAAACACTGGCAGTGCTGTTGGCAGACAGCCCTCCACTGTCAGCCTGCTTTGAGGATTGCCCCAGCTGCAGAGAGATGCCTCCCCGACGTTCCCCATTACTGGTGTGGTCTGCATTAAATGACTGGTTGATATGGGAGTATAAAGGCCCAGCTCTCTCCCCTTGACATGGGACAGCTCCGAAGGGCCATCCTGTCTTCACAAATCCCTGTAGGATCAACTGAGGCTCCTGTTGAATCTGCATCACAGCTTGACATTCTCATCTACCCAATCCTGCTTCCTTCCCTTTGCCTAGGTGTTATCCCAAAATCACTCCGCACATTAATATCCATTTCAGAGTATGCTTTCTGGGGAACCCACCCAGTGACACTCTGGTAGCCTAAGCCAAATTGCAACTTCCTGACATTCCACCAAGGAACTTAAACTTCAAACCAAAAGGACCCAAGTGGAGGGAAGAAGGGAATGATGTGTGTCAGTTCTCTCTGATGATAGAGAGAGATTCTAATCACTCCCTTTCACCTGTTAATGCACAGTAGTAAAGCTGCTTTCAGTCCTATTCCATCTGGAATCTGTGATTTAGTATCTAGCAATGCCCTTATGTTAACTCTGCATCAGCCCATGCTAAGCATTTCCTTCCAATGTGGAGGGAACTGAATTCCTGGGAGTACATTTTTTCTCTAAGTCTTCACTGGCTTTTGCTCTCCCTCAAGGCATGAGATAAATAACTCCTGGCTCTGCCTTGGGAATTTACTAGGCTTCCACTTACCATGTTCATATTGTTGCTGTTAAATCCGCCCAGAAGTAACATGATATTACTACAAATCTGATCAAGGATCACCTGGCCACAAAGGTAAATAGCAAACTGTCTGAAAAATCTGGTCTGGTACAGAAATTCTTTTTTGCCAAATAATCCCTGTAAAAATACGAAGTGAAATAGTAATATTATATGATAGAAAAGAAGTGGCTCTAGTATAAAAGTATACATTTTTAGAAGATTAGGCAGACTTTTCTACGTATGAGAGATATTTTCTGAGGAGTCACATACCTTGATCATCATATCTGGCAGCAACAAAAATTTGGCCCCAGGGCTTTTTGCATGTTTAACAGTGGCTATGGGCGCTAAAGCAAAATACATTTTGATTTTCTGAGCCAGCTCTGGCATGGTAGAAAATGCAATAAAGCCTGTGAGAGAAGAAACATATCATCACAGATATTGAACGTCCTGAGACTGATAAAGTGTGTATTTTACTTTTATCAAGATATTTTGATAATTATGTGTGATCATGTCTTAACTCTCCTATAAAGTTATAGGATCTGGGGGTGGGCAGCAAAAAATCTTCTTTGATTACCACGACACCTATCATATTTGCTTTCAAGTAGTAGGTTCCCTTGAAGTAAATTGTTGAATACAATATTGATTTTGAGAAAATATATATGTGTGTGTGTGTGTGTGTGTGTGTATGGAGGTAAGTGTAAGTGTTTATATAATAAACACTTTGCTAGGGACCTTTATGGTTCTGAGGACGATAAAATCAGATCTGAGAAGTGCAAGGTGCCTGATTCCAGGCATAGCTTGTGCCATATGCTCACATTTCTTCTGAGTGTACAAACCTGCTTTTCTTTGAACCTACCCATGGTGGTGCCCTGTGAATAGCCGATATAATAGATCTTTTCCTGGCCCGTTTTCTGCAAAATAAAGTTTATCACTGCAGGAAGGTCAAACCTAGCCATCTCATCATAACTACAGGGGGAAAAGACAAAGTTATATGAAAAATTTACAATTAGAAACAAACAGAAGCACCCCCAAGGTTTACAAACCATCCCTGAGTTGTCAGCCCTGTTCGCTTGTTCCTGTGCCCCTCACAACAGGCAGAGTGGGCCCGTTTCAAACCTGTGATGTGTGGTGTCTCTGGTACCCCAGGCTGTCAGCAAACCTGTTTTCTCCAGATGTTATCATGGAGTGATAATTGTCTTCAGTGAATGTTTACTGGGACATGACCCATCTCCCAGTGGAGGTGCCCTATTACACTGTTAGCAGAACAGCAAAGGGCCATGCAGATTCATTTATAGGAAAAGTATTAAAGATGCTGCATGGACCCTTCTCTAATGGGCAGAAAGAGCAGGTTGAATGTCAATAGGAAATTTAAGTGGAAACATTAAAAATATTTTATACTAGCATGAGAGATGTGTTAGTCCACTAGATAGTCCCTAAAGCTTAATAGTTTCCCTTATTTTATTTTTTTAATGCTGGCTGGTCTTGCCTCCTTCTAGAATACTATTGCCTGCCCACAAGGAAATGGATCTACCCTTCTCTCATTCCAGTCTCAATCACCTGACACCAACAATATTCTCATGCCATTAGCCAGACCTAACCTTCTACTTGGGGAACCCAATATTCCCCCCTACTTCCAAAAGACTCATCAGTTAATTAAAGATATAATTAGGATATTGGTAATGCAACCAAAATAAATTAACCCAATACTAGAAGCCATAGTTTTTTAGCCAGTTTTCCAGAAGACATCCACATCTACCTTCATTCTCAAGATTTTCATATACCTGAAAGCCCAAAACTCATCTTGGTCTATGGAGAGGGTCTTGTGTTTCCGAGACCAGGTGTTTCCCCTGCTGTTACCCATCCACACATCAAAACCAGCATCTGCCAGAATGAAGCCCAGGCTATTGTTGGGCAGGTTGGAAATCCAGTTGCTGGCATCTCCAACTAGGCCATGCTGCAGTAACACCACAGGCCTGGGACCTGCAAAACAGAGAAAATTTCAACGGTGTGAAATGTTCTTACCTTTCTTGCTACCCACAGATGGATAAGGGCTTTCAAGTTGGACAAACCTATGTTCAAATCTTGATTCAGTTTTGATTCAGTTACTTGTTAGCTTGATTATCGTGGCCAATTACTTAATCTTTTGTGTCTTGATTTCCTCATCGGTAAAAGGGGATTTTTATTATGATTCAATAAAATAGAGCTCAGAGAACAGGTGGCACAATGCCTGACACAGAAAGTCTATAAAGTTTATCTGCCATTGTTATTTTTGTATAGTTATTATTATTGGACTTCTATGAGCTTTTCAGAAAATATTGTAAGTGCCCCAGGAGACAGTATAGCAAGGCGAGTTATTTAGCAGAGAAGATATTTATACCATATATATAATGGTCTAATGATTAAGACCTTCCTGTCAAAAGGACAAGCTTGAGGGAGATCCCACTGTTCAACTACAGGAATATTTAAGCATCAAAAAAAAAATGACAATAATGAATTATATGCCATTGAATAAATCAAGACTCCCTAAGTCCATATAGATATCAATAAATAAATGAACAAATAAACAATTAGGAGGGAAGGAAAAGCTCTTATTTATAGCATAATGCCAATTAATATATATATAAATTGATTTACAATATAATGCCAATTAATAAATACAGAAGGATTAAAATTACCAGTGAATGCTAAAATTTGTGGATGAAAGTTTAAAGACAAACAGGATATTTACTTAGCCTGAAATTATGCATTAATTACAAAGGGAAAAATACTAACTTTAGAAAAACCTGGCAGATACCATCTAACAAAGTTATCAAAGTTAATGTCACCAATATTGGAATAAACCAACATCATATGCTTCATAATATGATGCACCAAGAAGGACACAACTTGACTTGTGTGTTATACCTGTCCAAAGTGCATAACTTGAATCACACCATGAAGAAATATCAGACAAATAAATTTACATACCTGTCCAAGACTCTTCAAAAATGTCAAGGTCAAAAAAGACAAAGAGAACCTTAGGAATTGTTTGTTTATAAAGGAGACAGACTTGGCAAAACAGGATTTTGGGACAATTGACAAAATTTGAATATGGATTATAGATTAAATACAAATATCTATAGTGTTCGTTTCCTAATTTTGATAAATGTATTTGTCATTATTTAGGGGTAAATGGACATGATGTCTCAAACCTACTCTCAAAGGTTTTGGAAAGAGTAATGAGATAACACATAAGAGGTGGATGAGAATGATGAAAATAAACAGGGGCAAAATGTAAAATTGGTAAGTCAGGGTAAAGTTATATGGCAGTTCCTCGCACTATTTCCAGAACTTTTCTGTAAGTTCGAAATTATATCAAAATAAAGAGTTATAAAAATATCAGTAGGAGATAAATAAGGATTAAGGGCTTTAAAATTCCAATACGTTAAATAAATTAAGGTATGTACATCATTTTGACATTAGCAACTATGACGGAAAGATTAATAAAATGCTGCACTATTGGGAGGAAAAAAAAGTATCATGCCCTTATTAGGACTTGTGAAAATGAAATCACATTGCAAACGCAATGTCCATACCACAGTAGCTGGCTTAGAAGAAGGCTGTAGTAAAAACAGCTTTATTGCTGCTGTCGTTGTTATTGCTATAACTCTCTAGAGCAAGTGACTCTCTGAGCTTCAGTGTCCTCATTAGCAAAAGGATGATACAATTGCCCACCTTACAGGGGATTTGGGGGTCAAATGCGATACTGTGCATTAAGAACTCAGCAGGCTGCCTGACCTCTTATCAGATGGGGAGCTCTTGTTACTGTTGCTATAAAGGGGAACAGAATCGGTATGCAGCCTCCCTGTAGGACAAAAGTCTTTCTATGGCAAACTCATCCAGCATCTGGACAGCCTTCGTGAGTTCCACCTGCCTCATTTTATCTCTCTGGGGAGAGAACGTGTAGGTCACTGAGGACTGTGAATGCAGGGCCAGGAGAAAAGAACTCGGTGTTATTTCAGGTTTTCCTTGATGTCTGGTCATTTAGTTCATCCTCTTAGCTGTCAGGGAGGTGACAGTTGGGTTAACACACGGTGATCAAAGCAAGGTGATCAATACTCCCCTGGGAGTCTTCAGGACATTTCCCACGGCTGGGGTCAGATTAGACCTAATTACCAGTGTACTTTGTACTTGCGGGTCACCTCGTGAGAGGGCTGGCTCATTTATATCATTTCGAACATGCCTGACATTCCTGGCTTTCTATATGAATTCTAGCCAGCAGGTGCGTGTGTAAGGGCTACACTTTAAAAAGCTGTCATGTCCGAGGATGTTCCAGGCTATGTTTCTCTCTTGATGTAAGTATTTGAAGCCAACTATAACTATTTGATAAAGATTAAAAGGCTTTTATCACAGGCTACAAGCTTTTCAGTAAACATTTTTCAGTTGTTTTCAGTGTGAATTTCATTGGCCCTCTATTTCAAGAGATGGTGAAAAATCTTTTTTCCTGTTATCCTGGGAGAGGGCATCCTTCGAGGGACCAGTGGAAGCTGCAGCAACAACATCAGCCACTAGAGGGGAGTATTCTGCACCGACCAGACCTAAAAGACTGATTCCTTGAACCTGTGACTCCGAGGGAACAGTGAGTTAACAGGATGTGAGAAAACGAACTGTCCACAAACAGGGACTGCAGGTGACCCTCACACTTAGAAATTGTGGCAGTCTCTCGACTGCTGTGCCTTGCCCACCCCGCTAGGCTTCGAGGAGCTTTGTGAAAAGTTCTATCTCTCTGTGTCCAGGCTATTCATTTATTTATATGAAATTTATTCACTCATTCCACAAATATTTATTAGCACCTAGAATGTACTTGGCACTTTAGTCACTGGATATGGCCAGAGTGAGTTTACACTCTGGTTGTTGGGAGATAGACAACAAACAAGCAAATACCTACTGCAGCAGGTGGTGGTTAGTGCTATACGGAAAAGTAAGCAGGCAAGGGGTTTGCTATTTTGAATAGGGTTGCCAGGGAAGGACTCTCTGATAAAGGAGGCCTGAAAGGAGGGCCAGGGCAAGCTGCACAGACAGCAGGTGAACTAGTGGTCCCCAGAGAGAGCTGTTAAGTTCAGAGGCACGGGGTGGGAGCATGCTGGACATATAGGAGGCACAGCTGTGCAGCTCGTGTGAAAAAAAAAAAAAAAGCCATTTTTCCAAAAGCTATATGAGAACACATTGGAGTAAAACGGAACCCTGAAACTTCTTTACACCAAAGCTCAATAGCATTTGCCCAGTATTTTCTGGTCCTCATTAGGATCGTGGGCTGTAGTGGCAGACTAATCTTGATTTGCATGTAGGTTTTGTAGCCTACAAGCAAATACTAGCACAGACTTTCTGGCAAAGTTACTTAACCTTTGTGAGCATCAGTCTTTTAGGGTTATTGTGAAAATGAAATGGGATTGCTATTCTCTTCCACAGGAAGAGAATTTATTTAATCTACTCCACAAAGTAGAGACTACTCTATGGAGTAGATTAAATAAATAAATAGGACTAATACAAATAAAGCACTTAGCATTGTACCCAGCATATAGAAAAAACACATGAAGTTAGTTTACCTGTACACATAATGGATAATGTAGTTGCCGATTATAAACATAAAGCTGGAGTATTAAAGGAATAAAGCCAAAGAGAAATGGGAGATGGGCATACTTTAGTAATGAAGATGAATTTTTTAAAAATTCAGCAATAGCTAAAAATCTCATATACAAAAAAATAATGGAATTATATGAACTCTGGAAATGTATCAAAATTTTTAAATGTACATATAAAACCTGGTTCTTAAAAAGTCCTTAGTGAAAAGCTAAGCAACATCTTAGATATCTAAAGTGCTCTTTGGATGAGGAATACAGTGTATGGGGTGGGCGCCAGGTGCCATATTGAAGTTTGAATTCTTCATGAACAGAGGTTTGTGTGGTCTGTTCAAGGAATAATCAGTTAATGTTCTAGACTAAAAAGAGGGGATTTGGGGAATGGGTTGAGTGCTAGAAGGGATCAAGAAATGGACTTTTCTTAAAGGTGTTGTTTTGAAAAGCAAATGCTGTATGTTTATTTGAGATAATTGACAGGGTATGTTGGGGTTGGATGGTGGTAATTAAGTTTATGGGGGAACTGACACCATCCTATGACCAGAACAATAGACCCCAGTCTGTACTAAGAACCCAGACTGCCTTCTACACTCAATCACAAGGAAATCCTGGCTACAGGGAAGACTGCCTTGTTGAGGTGAAATAGTGTGAACCGTACCTGTCTTAGGTTGCACTAGGCCTCGAGGAATTCTGTTAACAGAAAGGATATACCCATCTTCTGTTGTGACGTCATACTCCTCACAAGGATAGCCTTGATGTCGGATGATTTCACTCTATGGAAAAAGCACAATTTGTTTTTAATTGAGTTGTATATGTCTGTATTCTCAGTGATCCTTGATGCTGTGAGGCATAGGCAAGAAAGTCCTTTCTTTTCCTTAAGTAATAATATTACTTTAGAAAAATCAACCATCCCTTTCTGGTCCTCACTTTCTTTATTTTTAATCTGAAGACTGGACTAGAAGGACCCTGGGCCAAAGCATCAGCATCACTAGGGTACTTGGTAGAAATGCAGATTATCAGGTTCCAACCAAATCTACTGAGTCAGGAACTCTGAGGACAGGACCCAGCAATTTGTGTTTCAACAAGCTCGTTAGGGAATTCCAATGCATTCTAATGTTTAAGAACAACTGCACCAGAACACTGATTCCATAACCTGGGTGCGCATGCAGAATCACTTAAATATACAGAATCCGAATGCACTTTAATATACAGAGTCTTGAGCCCACTTTGGGTCAGATATCAGGTGATTCTAATGCAGCCAGTGGAGTACCTATCTCAGCACAACTTATGTGAATCTCTGGGCCATGTATTCCCTAAGGTTCTTTCTAGTTCTAAAACCATAGGCTCAAGAACAGTAATTCTTAACATTTTTAGGTTAAAGTTCCCTCAGTGCATTTGAGGGGAACTATAAAAATGGATATACACGTGGATGCACAAACATGCTTTTGCATACAATCTCAGAGGCTGCAGATTCCTTGTTGCTTATGTATTAATATATACTTCTGGTTAAGAATCCCTGCTCTCTATACTTGCTACATGCAGAAACTCTTTAGACAATATGAAGCTGCAGAGACCTCCTGAGCATCCTCACTGTTCTTGCCCAGTGTCATTACCTAGAGAAGGAGAAAACCAGATCAGGAAACTATACTCTGTTGCTCTTTTTATATTTGTAAAAAAAAAGCAAGAGAAAAAAGCCAGGTGTCAAATGCCCAGAGTAGAATATAGGGCAAAAGTTCACAGTCAATAAGACAAAGGCCCTGGGGTTCCACTGCTTGAGTTTTAATTCTGGCTCTAACACTGAAACACAGACTAGCTGAATGATCTTGGGAGGTTTAGTTAAACTATCCCTATTCTTAGTTTATTTATCTGTAAATTGGGAATACCAATGATTCATACCCCATGGGATTGTTGCAAGAAATATAAAAAGACAAGCACATATAACAGTAACCATAACCCCTGGTACAGAGTGGGTACTAGGAGCATTAGTTACCACTGTAATCAAAATCCAGGTTAACCAAGTATTATGAAATGCAGTGTTTGTGTGTGGGTCTGCGTGTGCCTATGTGTGTGTATCTGCAAATTGTACCATTATATATTTAATGTTAAAGAATTTATAGACCAGTAGTCCTCAAAGTTTAGCATGCATCAGAATTACTTAGAGGGCTTGTTAAAATGCAAACTGCTGGGCCCCACTCAGAGTCTCTGGTGCAGTAGGTCTGGGTTGAATCCAAAGAATGGACATTTCTAACAGGTTCCTAGGTGATGCAGATGCAGCTGAAGGCCTGTCCTTCAAGAACCACTGTTGTAAACTATTTGGGGAGTTAAGCATAGAAACATGAGACTGTATGACATCTGACCAAGTGTTTATTGAGAAGATATAAGTAATGTGCCAAATGAGGGCTGAAGGATGTGAGCAAAGGAAGGAGCAAAAGAGTTCTGAGCAAGGGGAGCACGATGGCTGGAGCTAGTCAGGCCAGGTCTCATGGAGGAAGGAGAATTTGAACCAGGCCTTGAGGATCAAATAGGAGTTACCCCAAAGAGGTGGGGATAGGGGCATGGACATCCCAGAAGGAAAAGAACTACAGCCACAGTGAATACTGCCTACAGGTGGCAGAGGGTCAACAGACTAAACTTGGTAGGAGAGTTTATGCAGGATAATTGTAGGACATAAATTTGTGGACATAAAAATATAGGCCCAATGTATTCAAAGGGGTAAAGTATTAGTTATGAACTTATTAATTTGTATAATCATTTTTGAGAACAGTTTATCTATTTAAATGCTAATATTTAATTTTTAAATTTTATTATAAATTGACAAATTATGAATGCGTTCAATATTTAACTTTTAATCTCATTGTCCATTTATGAAATTTTAAGGAAAAAATCAGAAGTATGCATCAAAACACACCTGTAAGGATATTTATCCCAGCATTATTTATAACAGTAAAAAAATTATACTGGGGGAATAGTTAAATATTGTGGACACTGAGAAGCTCTACCCAGAACCCCCTTTGATGAAGGACTTGTCCCATCTACTGCTCAGTGGCAGAGCCCAATTAAATGAGTATTATTTATTTATTTATTTTTATTTTATTTTGTTATTTTATATATTTATTTTATTTATTATTTATTTATTTTATTTTGAAGTCTTACAGAGGGACAAATGTTTTTGGTTACAAGGATCGCTTTTGTAATGCTTGAATCAGATCACCTAGATAGTGTACATTATGCTCATTAGGTAGGATTTTGCCCACCCCCTCCCCGGCCCTCCCCCTTCCCCTGATTGATTTCTATTGAGTTATACTTCCCTTTATGTACATGTGTGCTCATTGGTTCGTTCCAATTTAATAGTGAATACATGTGGTGTTTGTTTTTCCAAAGTGAATTTTAGTCTCTAGGCTCCTGAAACCCCAAGTGAAAGGTGGGTGGGGCCCAGGCAGCTAAAGAGATTCCCTCTATCCCTAAATTAGATGAATTTGTGTAGAACATTCCTAGAGCCAGAAGAATGGCCCCTGAGGATCTATACCAAATGTGTGAACTATCTAGACAAAGTGTCAAAAGACAGCCAACCATTGGAATGATAAAAAAAAACCCTGGCATTTAGCACCATGCAGATTCAGAATATTTCTATGACCTCTCAGTTTCTGAACCCATACAAGGGAGATTTTGTAAAAAGTGTCTGAAATCTGTATAAATGTATATTAAAGTTGCTCTTTCTGTGAGGTATTAGATAAACTTATGTTGCCTGGATGTCATGGCACACAATCATCATACTCATTTGGAGGTAAACTCTCCTCTTTCTCACCTGGGAGGCTTTATTGCATTGCATAGTGGTTATAATTATAGGCTTTGTGTTTAGGCGGCCCTGCATTTAAATTGCAGCTCTGCCATGTACCAGTGGTGTGGCCTTGTTTAACTTGTTCAATTGCTTTAATGTCAGTTCCTTGATTTGAAATATGTGGATGATCATATCCATTTCGTAGGGCAGTTGAAGTTGAAAGAAAATAGTATGTCTGCAGCTTTTATCACAATGCCTGCTATGGTGGCCATTACTAAAACCCAATGTAGGACAGTATGCCAAAAAAAAAAAAAAAAATTCCCTGGGAGACCTAAAGAGATGTATTATCATTCATGCACTTTACTCATAGGAGGCCCTCTCGGGGTCTTTTTACTGCCATTCAACAAAGGTAGCAGTCCACAACAGGATAAAAAGAGTGGATTAGAATGGTACGGTAAATGCTCCTAGAAGTGGGTGCCCTGATAGCAAGAAGTGAGGGCTAACATCTTTATAAAATGGAAGAAAGTGAAAAAAGAATAAAAAGAACGAGACAAATTAGAAATAATCAAGTGTCTGGGGTTGGCCCAAAATACCTCAATTATTTCTCTGCTCATAGAATGACCCTAAGAGTTCAAGGAAAACTTATGTTGTGTTTGAAGCCCAAAGGGATTAAATCATTTGTCCAAGTTTACAAAATTTGTTCCCAGGTCTGCTGACACCCAGGTTAGCATTCTTTCCAGTAAAATATGCTATTAGACTTTATCACTATATTCCAGCATAAATCACTACCATATATAAATATAATACATAATGCAGATAATACACAGATGCAAATATTAACATGTAAGGTACATTTCCCCAAAACATTACAGAAAAGCTCAACTTACAACGTTCATGAATGCTTCTGGGTCCACAGCTTTAGTTGGCAAACGTCCTGAATTCACATTGCTTTGGAACAAATACGCCACCAGAATCAGAAGCCACATCTCCATTCTGTGTGCCACAATCCACTCTCTCGACAAGATTTCTAACATGGTCCACCATAAGCATTTATGTTTTCCTGGCAATATAGTAACAAAGTCTAAAGTCAGAAGAAGAATCTGTAGGTTTAAAAACTCCTTCACATATTTGCCAGCTGCAATCCCTTCTCTAAATTCTGAAGCAAATTAAGCAAACTTAGTTGCTAGGAATGGGAGAACACAAAGGAGGCTGGAAACATTGCTTGGGATGTCCCAATGCCACCTGGCCCCTCCTGTTCCTCTCTCACACAACTTGTAGTCACCAGTCCTTCAACTTCTAGCTGGGTAGAACTTTCTCTGATGCAACCTGGAGTTTCATGCATGCGATACGGCCCATAAAACCTCTGTTCTTGAGCACCAGGGAATAAGGACCATGAGGAACTTCTTTCCTCCCATTCCTTATTTTAATCTTTCTTTGAAAGATAGCAAAGATTATGGCATCTACAGAAAACATTGCAAGGTTCTATAGTCATGTTCTGGGGCTTCACTGACCTCTGCCTTTGGGTTGAAGATAAATGTAATGATAAGTACTTTTGTTTAAAATATCACAAATTTTAGGGACATTTTCTATTTTTAGTGATAGGAGAAAACATTGGTTGGAAGGAAGCGAATCTCCTGTGTTTAGCCTATTTCTGTCTAGTTCAATTAAATAGATATACACAAAATTTTTATTTGGGGTTGTAAGCGCTAGTTAATTGCTGAGAGACAGATTAGATGGGTAACCTACTAATTAAATCATCTGCAATAACTAAAATAATGAGCTGCAGCCTAGTTATTTTCATGCACTGAATGTTCCAGTTCAATTGACTGTGAGGCAACGTGGGCAATTCCTTAGCTTACTAATAATTGAGCAGGCCAGGAGGGTAGTCGTATTTGTCATTTTTAAGTAAGGAATGTGTTAGAAGTTAAGGAAAAAAAAAGTATTACTTAAAGTAAAATATTTCTTTGCCATTACAGCAACTCTCCAGAGATGAGCTAGCAGCACCCACACCAACAGGCAGACTTTTGGTATGTGGTGGGTGAGGGAACCACAGCTGGAACTGGAAAGATGAGTCTTCCAGAAGGTATCTGCCCACATGACTCAGCCTCATCCCCTGGGCTGGTTGGCCAGGTGTGAGGAGGAGAGCCTGCCTCCTTATCTGGACCTGTCTGAACATCCCCACCTTTGTTAATCTGACGCATACTAGAGGAGCCCTTTGACCTAATTAGAAGAGCAGAGAGAGCATTTGTCCCATATCCTCAGCGCGCACTGAGCTCACTCTGGAGTTAGCAAAACGGGATTTCAGAGAAGAATGTTGTCATTTTAGGATTTGGAAATGTTACAGCCAGCTTTCATTTTCAGAAATGTGAAGAGAAGTCAAATGACTTATTTACCTAGATGGTGGCAAGACCAGAATGAAAATTCAGATATTTTAATTCACTGTTTAGTTTTATGACCACATGGGGGAAAATGTAGCATTTCAATTTACTCTATTCAGGGATAAAGTCCCACCTACTATCAAAAATCAATTAATTACGTCAATCTCTGTAAACTGTCTCTAAAAATTCTCAATGATTTTATTATAATTTTTGGCTGATATGATCTACTCACATTTGCTCTACTTTGTTCAAGTACAATTAACTCCCACATGGGATTAATATACTTGTGCATACTGTAGAGATTTATTAATGAGAAAGTTGATGGCAATAAACTGACTAGTTCAGAAAAATCCTATGTTTTGGGTAGTAGAACTACTTCCTCCCCTGCATCAAACTCCCCCATCCCTTTCTTTTTCCAGCTCTTTACAACTTCTGTTTCCTTGGGTACTAAGCATAGTACGGAGAGAGTCAAGTTCAATTTGGCTCCCTTGGTTAACTTTGATTAACTTGGTGAGCTCTAACTGTCATTTTAAAAGCAGGAAAAGTCACATTCCAATTAGCTCAAAGAATTACACTTTGAACAAATGTTAAATAAGTACAGTTCCTCCCTCTGCAGAATTTTAACAATGCCTTTTAGCAACCCGCAGCCCAAGTGTGCCAATGAGACCTTCAACTTGGAGTTGTTTTGAGAGATTTGTCTTTACAGGCTTCTATCAAGGAACTCTGTGACCTTTCAAAATGGATTTTTACCATCTCAATACATAATGGAGTAGGATCTAAAGTACCCTGACTTCTTAAAACTAAGAAAATGGATCTTTCCTAATGTGCACTGTCTATAAACCAGTTAAATATCAAAATCCAGAAAATCAGCAGGTTAAATAGGAGAAAGTTTAAGGAAAAGCTTCCTAAGAAAAAAGTGAATAAAGAATCAATCTAAAGCCCTCCTCATTGATATACTCTGTGTAAAAACTGTAAAAATGGGAACAAAAAACCCCAAACAACCAACCAATGACCAAAGTAGGACAAAACAAAAACAATGACACAAGAATAAGAAAGAAAAACACCCTGAAAGTGTAAAAACTGAAAAATTACCTAACCTGGACAAAAGAGTCAGGAGAAAGGAATATTTTTCAAGACTGACCTCAGAAACATCCATCTTTTGTACAAGGTACTCAGTAAAACTCACCTCAAATCAGCTGTTACCTTTCTGTTTCATATGAAAAGTAACATTGGCCTTCCTCCTTTAAATATGAAGTCCAACTATTAAGGATTAACTTTATTTGAACGTGAGAAATGATTCCTCTCAAAAAAAATAATGAACTGTTTTTAAACATTTCCCTGGTGATATAAATGTGCTGAAACATTTGTTTGGTTTTAGAATATATAAAGGTCAAAGTTCATATAGTTGTTCTTAAATATCTTTAAAGGACATAGTATTTTGAGAAGCTTATGAAAACTAGACTCTCCTCAGAAAAATGTACATATGCATATCCACACCAAATTTCATAACTTTCTAAAATTTAAATATTTATTTAGACACAGTGTCACTTTGTTGCCTGGTATAGAGGGCAGTGGTGTCATGATAGCTCACTGAAACCTGGGTTCAAGCAATCCTCCTGCCTCAGCCTTCCAAGTAGCTGGAATTACAGGCTTCTGCCACTGAGCTTGGCTAACAAATTTCATATCTTTTCAAGGGACTCATGGTCATATTTCCTTCTGTAGAACTCTTGGGATCCATGGACTCAGAGGAAGGACCATAGGGTGAAGGGCACTGCTAATCCAACTGACATTATGTTGGCCTATGTGTATCTCAAGGACAACTAAATATTTTAATTCCATTCACAGTTATTGAATTTTGCTACTTGGGTCTTAGAGTGGTGATTCTTAACCAGTGTAAGGTCTATAACTCTAATATTGTCAGTTTAGTTTTCTAACATATCTTCAAAACATATGCTAGAGAACGTACACACATATACATTTTTAATTAAAGTGAATTAAAATCAATTTTGTTTTGATAATATTATAAAGCCATTTATGGCAGGTGAAGACATGTTAGACACAAGAGAAGCTGAGTGGGAATCAGAGCGATACAGTTGCAGGGCTGAATCTGGGAGCCCACAGGATGCCTTCCCTAGAGGAGATTTTCTGTTGCTCTGTGAGCTGGCACAGTAACCACCAAGCTATCACCTCTACTTGCTTTACTTCCAAACTCACCAGGCAAGTTTCAGCTTATAAGATAATTTGTTTTCCCAGGTAATTTGGGAAACTAGAAATAAGCTATGTTGGAATAGGGACTTAAGGCATTTTGGCTGTTGTGTTAAGAGTAACCTGTTCTGTAAGTAATTCCATTGCTGTGCTGGTGCCTATGTTCAAATCACCTGATTGTCTTTGGGTGTAATGAAAAAGCCCATTTAATGCCTATTATATTGGGGGGCGGTGTACAAGAAGGAGGCCAACCATTTGGCTCCATCTATTGGTGTACCACCCTCTGCCCAGTCACACTACTACCTTGTCTTCCATTTTTAAACAGGAACTTGTTTGGCTTTTTAAGTAAGTCTGTATCTGAGAATGTTCTATTCAGGAAGGAGTTCTTGTTATTCAACCAGGTGGCTGTTTCCCCCCATTTGCCTGATTCAAATAACAAAGTTTAGTTGCCAGAGTGAGGCTTTATACTTCACCTCTACTTAACGATATCCCCATGACCATCTGTTAGTTGTTGTTCCCTTTCTGCTATCCTGCACTCTTTGGGGCATTACGTCCCTAATACAAGAATTCTTTCTTGATGTCCAGAACTAGACAGAAACTATGGGCATAAATTGGATTACATTAACAGTACCATGCAGACTGAATACTCACTCAAATCAGGACTTGTAGAACTCTGAAATGTCCCCCAGGGGGACCCATCTGTCACTGATGCTCTGCTGGGTGTATGCTGTTTACTCTGGATCAACTGGGCAGTCCCCATCCCCTGCTGGACGTTGGTACTCACTTCCATTCTTCTCCAGGAGTCTGCTGTCTCCAGATAGACACATATTAGAAATTACCCACAGTATGTGTCTGGACCTCCTGCCACAGATCAATCACTGGGACACCTAAGATGTCAAAACTGCATGGAGCCCCTTTGCAAAGTGACAGAGAATTCCTCTTTTCTGTTCGAGTTCCAATTTAGAGGGCTATCAAGTTAGTACTGCCATTTCCCCAATGTTGAACTGAGTTTTATTAAAACAATTATCTCAGGCTTTATAAACCACAACCTTGAGTCCAGTGGGGGTTGTGCCATGGAACCAATCTGAAAGTCAGAGTTAACACTTTTGTCAGAAACACTGTATGATCAAATGACTCAAGCTTTTGTACTGAGTCGCACTCATGCCCTACTCCTTCTCTTAACATGACATCTCACAGGAGACTCTGAGGTCTTCAGGCAAATGGGCCTTTGGTTTACCTGCCCTCCTGGTTTGTCAGATATGCCTGCATATTCATGGTTCTCACTTAGGCTCTAATCAGTATCTCAGCTACATCAATCAACATGTGATGGTTCTTCACATACTGCACTCCAGTGCTGACATATTGCAAACCATTCCATATTAAAGTAGGCAAACGATCTTATCTCTGACTTCTAGCATTGGCCTAAGAATTGCTTAAACATCTTCTATGTTACAGTTTCAAGTTCTTCTTTTTTCAAAGTCTAGCTAGCAACAAATAATTTTTATACTATTTGGTATATGCAGTAGGTAAGACAGGCTGTGGAGTCAAGACAGAGAGCTCTGCCACACGATATATATGTAACTTTGGGCAACTTCCCTACCATCATTGAATCTGTGTCCTCATTTTCAAGATGTGAACAGTA